TTCTTGAACAGACATAAAATTATATAAAGTAATAATTACAACACTGTATTGTATAACAATCCACGCAATGTATTGTACACTATATTGTTGAACGGTTAGCTTCTGTAGATGTAGTATATGTAACAATAATAGCACAAAAAGGAGAGAAGGAATAGAGCTGTGTAGGAACTCTGGAATTAGTATAAATCTGAAAAGATTCTGTCAAATTAAGATGTATATGGCAAACCCTGTAGCAACTGCAAAGAAAGTAACTTTAAAAATACAGTGAGAAAGTCATTAAAGGAATTATAATATTATACCAGAAAATATTCACTTACTACAAAAGAAAGTATTATAGGAGAAATAGAGGAATTAAAAAACACATAAGCTATGTAGAAAACAAAAAGTAAAAAGGCAGAAGTAAATCCAGCTGTGTCATTAATAACCTTAAATATGAATGGATTAAAGCAGTTCATCCAAAAAACAGATGGTCATATTGGATTTTTTTAAAAAAGATCCAATTGTATCTAGCCTAGAGGAGGCATACTTTCTTTTTTTTCCTTTTTTTTTTTTTTTTTAAGTAAGCTCCACACTCAGTGTGGGGCTTGAACTCACAACCTTGAGATCAAGAGTTGCATGTTCTTCTGACTAAGCCATCCAGGTACCCCCAGGAGGCATACTTTCTATTCAGAGATAGAAATAGGTTGAAAGTAAAGGATAGAGAAAGATGCATCCTGCAAAGAGCAACCATAAGGAAGCTGGAGTGGCTAATACTAAAAGAGACTTTAAAACAAAAAATGTTATCAGAGATAAAAAGGACATGTTAAAATAATAAAAGGGTGAGTCTGTTAAGATATAACAGTTATAAACATATATCTAACAACAGAGCCAAAAAAATAAATGAAGCAAAAACTAACAGATTTGAAGAGAGAAATAAGCAGTTCAAAGGTAATAGTTGGAGACTGGAATACCCTACTTTCAGTAATGGAGCAAACAACTAGACAGAGGATCAAGAAGGAAATAGAAGACTTGAACAGCAAGTAAACTGCCTA